CCTCGCGCTCTCGCTCGCCCTCCCGCCCCCTCGCGCTCTCGCTCGCCTCTCACACTCTCTCTTGCGCTCGAATGAGACAGCATGCCTGTGCTATGGTAGGACTATGCTAATGTCGTAAAGGGTACACAGGAAGGACGTTTTCCCCTTAGTGGAGGGATCAATGACCAGAGGATATAGATTTAAGGCAAGGGGCAGGAGCTTTAGGGGAGATGTGAGGAAAACATTTTTCACTTAGACTGGTGAGAATCTGGAACTCACTGCCTGTAAGGATGGTGCAGGCAGAAACTCTCATAATACTTAAGTGTTTAGATGTGCACTTGTAATGCCAAGACATACAAGGCTATGAGCCAAGTGCTGGGAAATGAGATTAGGTTGTTTTTAACTGGTGCAGGCTTGAGGGGCTGAAGGGCTTTTTTGCTGTGTGCTGTAGACCTCCCTGACTCTGGACAAACATCCTTGTTTGGATTCAATTGAATAGACTCTTGCTCAATGACTCCTCAGAAAGGCTGACATCAGCCTACTCTGGCCACCTTCGTGTTGGTTTACTGACTATGTCTGCTATTGAACAGATTGGGAAAGCCTTTTATCTGTTGGACACCAAAGACGTGTTTTCTTCTTTATTCCTTTGACTTGTTTGTTGTTCTTGAACATCACGTGACCTCTCCCCCACCCCCCACCACACAGACACGCACACACAGACAGACAGACACACACACAGACACATGCCAACACCACCCTCCCCCTCCCACATCACTGACAAGTTCTCTCCTTTTATATCTGTGTTTCTATCACAGGAGCTGGTTGTGAGTGTCACAGGAGCTGGTTGTGACAGTCTCTCTGTGTGGCGCCTGGTGGAAAGCAATAGAGAGAAGCAAAAAACCAGAAGAATTGCAGATGCTGTAAATCAAAAGGGAAATCAGAAATTGCTGGAAAAGCTCAGCAGGTCTGGCAGCATCTTTAGGTCAAATGAGTCCTAAGGAAAGGTCACGCGACCCAAAACTCTGATTTCTCGCTATGGGTGCTGTTAGACCTGCTGAGCTTTTCCAGTGATTTGTTTTTGATAGTGAGAAGTAGCTCTCTCCCAGTCCCAAAGTCAGTCAGTCACTCAAAGACATATACAGGACAGAAGGAGGCCATTTGGCCCATCCTGAGTGTGCCAGCTAACAAAGATCTGACCAGACTAATTTCATTTTCCATGGGTATTGGCCTGGAAACTATGGCAATGCAAGGTGGATATGTCGATGCTGCTTCAATATTAAAGAACTTCTGACTCAAATAGTGAGTGCCAGCAGACTACTGTCATCATGCAGGGGGCACAGAATTTCACCAGTCTGATTTAAAGTGATGCCAGTGCTTTGAAATCCCATCTCATTGCATATGCAGAAGCAAAATGTTAATACATTCACTTGTGACTGTATTAGCTTACAGCCACGTCTCTGAGCACAAGCAAGCTGGTGATTAACGCAAATGTGATCTTGGTGAAGTAATGGGAGCAATTGTATATAAAGGGCAGCTACGGTCAAGTCACTAACTGTTGACGTGCCTAATTATAACTCCCATGAAAATGATTCTGCCCATTGTTACAATCTCCGTAGAGACTGATAACTTTGTTCAAAGGAGAATTTTGAACTTCCGGTTACCAGCTGAAATAACGACACAGCAAGGTTTTACAGTCTAAATCGTTTACTGTAATAAATGAGTTCAGAAAAATACTCTAAAATTATTTCAGCCTTGAAGGCAGCTTGTACTTCTGAGGACAGAAAGGGTGTATCCCTTCTTGTTTACAATATTTACACTCACTTTACAGAGCAATGTCGCTCCCAGCTTCCAATGGCTCTCTGTATTCCACATTTTGCTGACTGAGAACTTTTTGAATGATCATGTCCAGCCTGTCTCCTCAGTTTTCAGAGTTTCTTCACTTGCTAGGAAGAGGCCATTCAGCCTCTCCAGCCTCCTTTCCCCATTCAACCACATTATGACTCATCTTCTGTCTCAATACCTTTATTTTTAATTCACTCATGGGAAATGGCTTTGCTGGCTGGGCCAGCATTTATTACCCATCCCTGATTGCCCTTAAGGTGGTGGTAAGCTGCCTTCTTGAACTGCTGCAGTCTAATTTAATCACTGAATCCCTACAGTGTGGAAACAGGCCATTTGGCCCATTAAGTCCACAACAGCATCCCACCCAGATCCACTGCCCCATCCTATTGCTGTAACCCAGCATTCCCCATGGCTAATCCACCCAGCCTGCATTTCCCTGAACACTATGTGCAA